CTTTGCAGAATACAGCAGTTTTAGGAGGCTTTTTGGTAAAATAATTAAATTTGTGCTGCTTCCTTTACCTTTCTCTAATTTATTGCCTTTTTTGTTTTTGCCCTCTTCCCCAAATTGCACAGGATTGGCTATAGTTTTACTGATGCTGTCCCTTTTTATTGAAATGGGCTAGTAATAAAGGCACTCTGACTTAAAAAAGCTCTTTTAAAGATATAACATTTTTTTATTAATCCATATATATATACCGAATAATGAGGCTCCAGGCTGGATTGATGTACATTGCTAATATATGAATAAAAACTAAGTTTTTACAGATAAAGCAAGGCTGGTCTAGTAGATTGAGCAAGTATTGAAAAAGTCTATGAAATGTATTTTATCATATATTAATTCAATTAAGTTATATTAATATCCATTTGTTATACTTACGTAGCATCCAGGTTGTCAAATGTTACTAGTATGCAAGCACCTGCAAGGTGAATTTGTAGACTGAAAGTTTGAATACACACAATATATTATGTACAGCTGGGGCGTGGGAGTGGATAGAGAGGGGTGCTGAGAGAATATGGGGGGGTGCTCTTTTACAGAGGTTTTGAACATGGGTTGAAAATGAGGTTGGGAGGTTGGGTTGTATAGGGGGCAGGGGGGAGAACTCTCTCCTTAGTCAGAGGTAGGGAAGTGGAAGAGGACTGGGTTGCTTTTGAATTTGGGGATTTGGAGGGTGGGGCAGGGATTCTTCTTGAATGTTTTTTCTATTTCTGTAATTTTTTGTCTTATAAGCTTTCCTGAGTCCTTTTTGGGAACAAATGTATTTAACTTTGCAACAGAAAACATTCAAAATTTATGGTTGTCCAATCAAGAAAGAGCAAGACACTTACCTTGGAGCTTATATAGATTGACAAAGGTTTCATGATATAAATGTTGTAGTTACAAATCTTTGACATCAGTCCTTGATTTTTTTAAATCAAGATAAATTGTATATTATTTTGCAAAAAAAGTTTTATCAGCACACATAGCTTACCAGATATTACTATTTTACAGTGTTATGGTCTTTAGTGAAAAGTCTTATAGTTTTAGAGATTGTAGGAATTTTTATATTAAGTTTATGCATTTTAAAGAATACAGCAATTTGAAGTATGGATGACTCTCAACTGCATATGGGGAAAATAACAAGAATTTGCGTTTTGCTTTAAAAGCTACTTTTCTGTAACTACTGTATTGATGCTAGCAATTGCAACCGTTCTGCAAATGGGATTCCTATAAACTTCAGTGGAAAGTCTGTGTATAGACTATCAGCCAAAAACAACTACTCATTAGATCAAGCATTAGTAGCCATCTGCTATCTAATTGTTTTCCAGTTAATACAAGAACAGAAAAGTGAATGGATGTGTTACTAAAATGCTTTGATGCTCTCTGTGTTTTAGCTAAGTCCATTAGTGCTCACTTGGTAATTTTTCTTTATTTATTCTTAGTGCCTAAAATTAAAGGAAAAGAAAAGCCCATAGTCAGTTATGAAGGAGATTCCGTTGTCATAGTATGTGAAAGTGGCAACTATATTCCTGTCACTTGGATCTGGTATACAACTAATGGAAGTCACCAGGTAAGATTTCCAGTTGTTGGACAGGCAGAACAATTGCATTAAAACTGATTACAAAATGGCAACCTGCTTGCCAAGTATAATTAACTCATGGTACATGGACCTATTACAACTTTGACAAGTCCTACCTTGGTCTTTAGTTATGGCTGATATAAAATCATACACATGGTAAAATTACTGAATCTATGGTTACTGATCATTAGAGAAAACTTTATGAAGACTGGGATTCCAAAAGGCACTTTTAGGTGCCTCTAATTGAGACTTCACAACACTTCACAGTTATCCCCAGAAATTGATTCAAATGGTCAGGGGAGAGGCAGACATCTCTCAAGGTTGATTTCACCTGTGCAACCTCGTGGTTAGAGCACTCAGCTGAGAAGGTGAATAACTGAATTCTGGGGCATGTCCACATGTGCAATCAACATACAGAAATAAATTCCTGCGCACGATATGGAGCGCATCCAGCTGGGGCAGTCTGGACTGGCAGGGGACCTATGAAGTCAGCCTGGCAACCCAGGGCTGCTACGACCAGGCTTCATGTGCTGCAGGGAGGGCTTCCTGGAGCACAGGGTGTCTCAGTGCAGGGCTAGCTGGAAGGCAGCCCTGTGTCCTAGCCATCTAGGAAGCGGCATGTGGAGATGGGAGAGCAGGATCTTAAGGCACGCTGTGCCCTAGTCAGCTGCAGACCAGAACCTCCACTGGAGCATGTGAAGATAGGGAAGCAGGCAACTCAGGGCTGCCTGCTTCCCCGTCTCTGCATGCTGCAGAGCCCCCAGGCTGAGACACTGTGCCACAGCCACTCTGCAGTTGGCTAGTGCTCAGTGTGCCTTGTGAGGGGGGAGCAGGCAGCTCTGGACAGCCCTGCTGCCCCGTCTCCACATTTGTCCTGGTGCATACTTTATTTGCATGCTCTGCAGTGCTTTTTTTTCTGGAGGGGTTTTTTTTTCTACTAGGAATTCCCAGTAGTTTGTGGCACCACAAAAAGGTCTGTGCCACAAACTGCATGTGCCGGCATGTGTGGATGCAGCCCCGGGCAGGGGCATGCTGGCAGTGGATTGTGACTTGGACAGCTCCAGACCACGCTGCCACCACTGCAAGATCCCAGCCCAGGAGCAGCACCTCCACCCAGCCGTGTGCGTTTCCAGCCCTGGCCCCACACTGTCACAGCACCACCACTCCTGGGGTCTCCATGAAAACCAGCTACAGTGATATGGACAGGGGCTGCAGGGAAATGGAGTCCAGGTGCTGGCTGGATCCTCTGTTTTGCACACCCCTGGCCTAGAACCTAGTTTTCCTACTTCCTGGATGGCAGAGTTAACCATTAGACTCTTCAAAGTTATGTGCCACTGTTGGCTGGAAGTGACAAATTGCTCCAGTTTGTACTGTACTTAGTGCTCTTGGTGTGTATATTAGCCTTACACAGAGCATACCTATTACATTAGGGTTCTCTAGGGACCTATGTAACATTCAGGCACTGTGCTGGATGGCAGCGAAGCCTACATAGAAGTTGAAGACACCTAGCTACTGAAACCAACTGTCTCTGCACATATGTGGGATCCTAGTTTAGGTTATCAGTTCAAAATTTGTTTTCCAGTGCCAAATGTTAGAGATGCTGAGTCTATGGGACTGGTCACACTGCTGTAACTTTGACTGCCACCAGTTTTCTGTTTTGACCCTGTTCCCCAGTGACCTGCTGAATGCCTGGCCAAGCATAGATATTTCTATTTAGAAATTCTACTTCCTGCAGTCCCTTCACAGAATCTGAAGTAAGCCCATTGCTTATGAAAGCTCATGCTATTTTTTCTGATTTAATTAGCCTAGAACAGGGGTGTCAAAGATATGGCCTGCAGGTTGGATCCAGCCACAGAACCATATAATCCAGCCGCTGGTATAGCCTGTGGGTCTACACATTGCATGTGGCACATGGTGATCAGCCTTGCATGTAGTGCCTGTTTCAGCCAGTCCAGGATTTACTGCATGCAGCACCCACTGTGGCTGGTCCAGGATGCACGCTGGATCTGGCATGGGTGGCCAATCTGTGGGCCCAGTCCAGCCTGGAGAGCTGGCCACTTGACTAAGAATGAATGAATGAATGAATTTGACACTCCTGGGTCCATAGGGGTAAAAACAAATGTCAGATTTCCCTCAGAATGAAGATTTTTATCCTGGAAACCTAGGCTAGAAACAGATGTCACTGAATAAAGTGAATCAGTTGTAGAAGGAAAACCCCACTTTCCCTGCTCACCCAGACCCATTCCTGGCAATTCTAGGAGCAGGCAAGCATTCCCCAGATTGCTCCTGGGATCATAGGGGATGACTGGATCAGTGGAGAACCCCAATTTCCCTGCTTATGGAGAGGTGCCCCAAGAATCCCTGGAACTTCTTTGTAAGCAGGAAAAGCTGGGCATGTGGTCCAGGGGCTTGGGAGGCACCTGTCCAGGGTGGTTGGAGTGTGTGAGCAGCTCAGTTCCACAGAACTAATAGATGTCTGCTGCAATAAATTGGCAAAGTCTATTACAATACTACCTTTTGCTGGGCCAAAGTTTTTCCTTTGCTGTGGCATGACAAAGGATAGCACTATTTGTGCTGCCATAAATTTTATGATTGCACAAATGAGGTCAGATGGCCTCTGTTTCCACCCTTACAGATGTAAAAGCCTGTTTTCCCACTTTAAGACTGAGTACACTTTATCCAAGATAACACTTTTTTTCTGGGACTATTGCAGTTTATCTTATTTCTTGCCTTTTTTGTCCAAGGAGAAGCTGTGCATGTAAAGGACTATGCTGCTTCCAGGTTTTGACTTGGGTCATTCAGAACTGCAACATCTGTTTTTACCCTAAAGTGCACATCTACACTGACTTCTTCTTGGTCTTACATGCAGTGAAATCAATAGCAAAACTTTAATTGAATCTAGTAAGTGCTTCACGAGGCCCAGTCTAATTAGCAAGTATTCAACATCTCTCAGGAATTGTCACAGATTTTGGAGTTTATACATTTAAATAAAATATGCTACAAAAACATCACTTGATCTTATATGACCCTGATGCATACAGACTTTTCAGTTTTCAAAACATACACACTTACATTAATATTTTAAATTTTGCATTAATGATTTTTAAATGTCTTTATATTAGGTTCGTATTAATGATTCCCTGATGCCAGAGAAGTACATAATTGATAAAACACCTGCCAACAAAACCCATCTCAAGATTATGAAGCTCACAGGGCAAGATGGTGGATTATACGTGTGCCAAGCTGTATTCAAACTAGGAGAAAACAATGGAGAAGTGAATCTTAAAGTTCTCAACTACATGGTGCCACTCAAACCATTTTTTGCAATAGCTGCTGAAGTTATTGTATTAGTAGCTCTTATTTTCCTTTATGAGATATACTCCAAAAAGAAAGAAATGCTTGCAGGTAGGGTATCTTTTTTATAACAATAACAAAATTTATATTGAGACTATTTTGATAGGGAGAAAAGTAAGAATATTTTATAGTAAAACATAATGACTGGACAGATCTCTGAGTTCAGACCCTGCTTTTAGATATCCTTTTACACTGAAACAGACCAACAGAATGATCTCAGTGGGTTTTAGAGAAAAATGCTAAAATTGCATTGTTTTTCTGGCATTTTTCTAAGCATGGCTAGAGGTGTGAATTTTATTGCATGTGTCAAAGGCATGAATACTTGAGTCAAACTGCCATATGTTTGGGTCAACTAACAGGATGTGTGATGTGTAGAGAAAAAGCTCAAAGTCCAATTTATAAACTCTTAAAGATATTTCAGAGTTACATAGGTATGATATGGTATGGGGTATGGAAATTAGTATTAACAAAAATGGATCTGATCTGTATACTGATATTCTGTGTGAGAATAATTACAGGATTTAATTGGTTGTATGCTTCCTTTTATTTTTTAGCTTATTGATTTATCATTAAAAATTAAGAGAAATATTTTCCATTAAACTAATATCATAATAGGTATGTTCATTAACTTGAGTGCTATTATAACCACAGGGTTTTCTTTGTCACACAGAAGGTGAAAAAGAATTTGAACAAATTGAGCAACTGTAAGTAATAACTTATTAGATAATATATGCTGGCACTGTGCTAACTTGTAAGAGACAAATATCAAATAGTGTTAACACCAGATAACTCAGAGTAAAAAAGATTCTCAGGTCTTAACATAAGATTCTCAGGTCTTTGATGTAAAGAATAACAGTATACTTTCCTATGTATTGTTCTAATTCCCTTCCTTGAAGTCTTTCCAATTCCCATTTTGCCATGTACCAGCATGTACAGAATACAACTTCTCCATCTTGTTCAGTTCTTCATCTTCATCTTTTTCTTTATCTTGCTTTGGGCTTTTTATTTATTTATTTATTTTGGTAGTAGTCATTATTTTGATGCATTTTTTATTATTTGCTAACCTGGTACAATGTCCATGTACTTCTCTCAAACTTCCTGACACTGAGGGAGATCATTTCAGATAGAACAATCTCCATCTTTTATCCATATGCTTAATGTTTCTAATTCAGTGTTACATATACTAGGTACCCTGGAAAACCCTACATACAGGGAGCATATACACGTGCAATTAATTTGAAGCAATAAACTTCAGCACATATTATGCTGGATTTTATTGATTCTGGGCACTGTGTTTGAATGTGCGCTCAAGATCACAGCACGTTGATCTGGGCTGGAGCAGCCCCAGCTGGCAGGGGGCCCAGGGGCTGCTCCAGACTGGCTCAACATGCTGTGGAGTTGTTAGCTGGGGCACAAGGGTGCTCCATAGCAAGGTTAACCAGCAGGCAGCCCCTGCACTGAAGCACCCTTGTGCCCCACCTAGCCCTGTCAGCATCTACATGTGTGTTGCTGCGCACTAAAAAACTCCACCACAGGATACTACTTGTATTTAGAAGCAGTAACCTGTGGTGGACTTTATTAGTTTACTGTGGTCTAACAGGACTGCATGTTTAGAAGTTGAGATGTTTACTGTGGAGCTAATTAGGCAGCTCCACAGTAAACATCTTGTGTAGACATGCCCACAGTGGAGCTGGTTTGTTAAGCTGTGTGACCAGGGATAAGATAGAGAAGATTTGGGGAAGAAACATTTGTCAGGAATTAGCATGATCTAAGCCTGGCATGTCTCACCATACTGGCAGTTTTTTAGCTCAGGATATGGAGAGGACCTGCATCCGTAAGGCTAGGTGGATACACTCGCCACTTCCTTCCTTTTGGTAGAGTGCATCAGACACAGAGAATACAGCAACTTGGGTGCTGAGAAAGCAGGTAGCTTTCTGGATGAATTCCTTGTGTCCTTTTATGCAACTCCAGGTGGACACCAGATATGAGATTTACTAGAAGAGGAAACACATTAGTTCAACCCAGATGGGTTTTTTCTACCTGTACAAGCAGTCTGTATTTCTACCTTTGGAAAGCAGAATCCTGTGCTCTACCCCCTACTCCCCCCACATGCCTCCCAATTCGCTTCTCAGCCATTTCAAGGACTTCCCTCTTTACTTTTTCCATTTGTCAAGTACCTGATCTCTTCTTTATCCCTTTGTATTTTGTTGGCACCATTTTTCTATATTTTCTACTATATGAAGCCATGTTCCCTGTTTCCTTTTGCCTCATCCATTTATTTCCACAGCCCCTGTATCCTAAATGCTGTGTAGCTCTGCTGCTATTTACTTAATTCTGTCATTATATTCATGATGTTTTAAAGCATTTTGGGATATTGTGGATGTCTTATATCAAGAACAGAGTAGTTCCCTTAGCTTCATATTACCATGTTTTTATCACAAACAGCCTTATTGAAACTGAGGTCTATTGGTCTTAAAAAGAAAAAAAAAGAAGCTCTTACTCATATCATTTAATATGGCATTTTCATGGGAGCTTGAAATGGTTCCTTTATAGCAGTTTGATCTTTACCTAGGAGATTGGAGTTCTCTTCTATTGGATAAATGCACATTTAGGAAATATTAATTAAGTGTTCACACTTTGTCTCATTGCAATGGTTTTATGGTAAAAAAAAAAAATCTATATTAGTAGGTGCTTAAATGCAGATTGATGTACCAGGTGATCTGGATTTTTTTTTCCTATGGAGTCAGTTCATTGTTTTAGGTTATAACTTTTTAAAATGAGATTGTTGCCACAAATCATTTTGGCTGCTGAGATAAACGATAACTCTTCTCATGTGAAATACTTTCTAATACCTGCACGTATTGTTAGAAATGACTGTGAAATGAGATAATGGTTTCAGTCCTTTTCCCAGTGATCAAGAGTCCACAACATGCACACAGTCAAAATTGATGCTTGTGTGGAATGACCCCTTTTGGTAGTGTCACTAGAGAAGCTAAGGATGGAGTACTATACTATGGAGCCCAAACTGTCCCTAATAAGTGACCTCTCCAGAATTGTCTGGAATACCCTGGCAATTAAAATAGGAAACTATGTGCTGTTATCACAGGTATTGCTCCTACCTATTCAGTAGATAGGGTTGTTTTTATTAGGTAGACTCCCAACAACCTCCCTTTTAGCATGGCATGTATTTATCCTGTTGAAACTAACAAGTTCAGTTTTGCTATTGTTATAATACATTATACTTAACTTATGTGCATACTGTAACTACATCAAACAATGCCAGTACCAGCTGGTCCCTTCTTGATCACACTGTGGCAGATAACCTATGTGTAGATAACCAGTAGGTTAAATGTATAAAATGTTTATGTGCACAGCACATTTCAAACCCTTTATCTACTTTGTAAAGTAACCGCATTCTGGTTAACTTTCTGGAAATGTTGAAAAGGAAGCAGATGTCAAAGGGGGCTGGTAAGCTTCACAGCTGCTATTAGAAAATGAAAATGACTGGTCTGCCTTGGGGCTGCTAATACCACAGCACTGACACTGCTGTAAACAGTGCTCATTAACTACACAATGCTGTCAGTGAAGTGATATTGGCAACCAAGAAACTAATTCACTTTGTAATTTTCACCGTTTCTAAAAGTTAGTTTCATGGCTGTTAGAAACCTTGAAAATGATAGGTCCTACTCAAGTTCAGGACTGCTAAGAGAGTGTACTTAGTGAGCATTGCTTTTATTAACTTGCACAAGTGGATATTCTGGATAAGTGCACAGCCTTTTTTCAATCCTGAAATGGAGAACATTGTTAATTGTGCCAATATTACCGTGCAAGTATAATAACCTATTCCAAAGATTTTTAAGAATAAAAAAAAAAAAAAGACTGAATTGATTTCAGAAAGCACTGGAATGGTCACTAGCTGGTTGGTAAAAAGACCAAATAAATTATTTCACTATTATATTTTATTGGAAAAAAATACAATCCATTCATTTTCTGCTCTGTGTTTTACAATCTTTGCATGTTAAAAGTTTGTTTTGAGTTTGAAGTTGAACATGTTTTGTTTTTTCCCCCCTTATTTTTAATAGTAAATCAGAAGAAAGCAATGGTGTTGAAAATAGCAGTACCAGGCATAGAAAAGTTTAAATCAGTTCCCAATACAAGGTAAGTAGAGGAGAAGGCATATTAGCAATTTACTAGGCTATTCTGTGATCAGAAGATTTAAAAGGAAAAATTTATTTTGTCCTTATCATATCTATTTTCAGTATGCATTATGTGGATGTGACAGAAAGTTGGAGTGAATACAGATAATACTCATTCATCATTGACAGAACCTTACAATTAATTCAGAAATCCAACTCAATGCTATGTTTTAATTTAGCTTTTACCATGTTTGGGATTTATTTGTATTTATGTAGTAATGAAAATTTACCCAGCAATTAAAATTGGGATGAAATTTTTATTAAAAATTGGGATGAAGAGGCAAAGCCATAGTCATGTGAGTGTTCCTTAAACACTACTCCTTAAACAGTCGTGTTGCCATCTGTGTGATTGCTCACGTGCATTAGGATTACTCATATTGCAAAGACTTTGTGGGATTAGAGCCAAATAAAAAAAAAATCTCCACAGTGAGAGCAGGGAGTGAAGGAGCCATAGGTAGTGGGAAGGGTAGAATTTATTTTATAAAATATGGCCTCAGTAGAAGTAAGTAGACAGAGGGAGGGAAGCAAAGACCCACAAAGAAAAGAGAGAGCAAAGAGATAAACTGTTGTGAGAGGAGTGAGTGACAGAATGGGGTGGGAAGAGCAGGTGTCATGTTTCTGGAGAACAAGAAGTGTGTAGAAAGATTGGAAGGTTATCCCTGAGGAGGCCAGTTACAGCTTCCTGGTTCTCTACCCCAGTCACAGTTCCAGCTCAGGCTAATTTTAATTTGGGCCAGGTCTGCCAGCTGAGGACAAAACCCTGAGCAATCCAGAAGTTGTGTCTATCCCCCATACCTCTTAACTGGTGTTCCAGCATTCCACTGATCTGCCCCAATAAGACAGGGCTTATGGTAACCTTATAGTCTCTGTGTGCATATGAACTGAAAGGAGTAGTGTCAGCTAAAGCCCATATGAAACAAATGACCAGATGAGAATGAGATTGAAGTGTAATTTACAAAGGTACCTAAGAAACATAGGAGCCAAAGTCCCACTGACTTTCAAAGAACCTTAGGCTCGTAAAAGCCTAAATCAGTTAGGAGACCGACCCTAGTTCCCATTTTTGCACCAAAGTGGCAGGTTCAGACTCAACCTGGGTGAGAAGTGTCCTCTAACCTGCATGTTCCTTGAACAAATGCCTCAATCACTAGGCTGTTGGGCTAGTAGGAGGTGTCCTGATGTATTTCACTTCTGACCAGTATGCACACACAGTAACCCTGTTGGAATAAAATCCCAAACTCTGCTTAAGCTCCATAAAACTCAGATACATGGTTATGTACATACCACATAAGCATGTGAAGGGTGAATTCAGCCTCCAGCCCCATGTTCCTAAGTCACTGAGACCCAAATGCTCAAAGATACTTAATGTGCACTCACTAATGTTAAATATTATTGAAAGATTGAAAATGTCATTCCCAGTCTGAGACTGAATCAGAATTACATTGACAATCTAAAGAAGTTAAATACAGTAGTGAGTATAAAACAGTTAGCAGGATTTATGTCAGTTGGCAATAATATGTATGTTCTCTTTAATTCAGGAGCCTGCAAATCAAGAAAAAGCAAACATCATTTGACCATTGCAAACTACAGAAGGATATATTACAACTATGTATTTCAAATATCTATTATGCTTCTAATTAGAGCTTTCTAGTTGTGTAACCAAAGTCATTATCTCCTATAACGTTTTTAAAATATAGACTTGAAATTGCCTCTCTGCTAAATAATCACTTTGTAAACACAGTACTGTATCCTAATATTGCACATACACATGGGCTGTGTCAGATGTCCCTGTTGTGGTTATGTTCCTTCTAGTTAAAAAAAAAAAATCTTTCTACTATTCAAAAATCAATTAGTTAAGACTAACCCATGTTAATCTTAGCCTATTAGGCTTTGCTTTTTACATTGGGTCCAGTCCTGCTTTCACTGAGGAAACAAGAGATACAGGATCAGGGCCATTATCTAAAAATTTATATTATGGAGGTAAGTTCACCTTCACGAAAGTACTTTTCAATCTTGAAGTGCTTACACCAAACAAAAATGCCTTTTACTAGGAGATTGAACAAATTTAACACAAACAAGCCTTTTTTCCCACCAAAGGACTGATCAAGGGGAATCTTTATCATAGTTCTTATGCAATATATATTTTTTTACCATTTCCTACGAAAATACAAAAATCCTCAATTTTTTTTTTATTTAGTATCATTTTATATATGAGGAAGAGATATGAAGTGAGCTAAGGAAGTTTAAGGTGCTACAATTGCTTTGACTTCCTGACTGAATACAAAAGGCCACATTTTGTACTATAGGATTGTGGCCAGTACTACTCAAATTAGTAAAAAAATGACTATACATGTACAGTACTGAAAGGCCCTAGCACTGACTCAAACATCAATGGCCAGATATATTCCATATATTGGGCAAGGAAGCAGGCTTAAGTATCTAAGTACATTTCTCTTTGGTCCTGTTTGAACCCCTGAAAAACTTAATACCAAAGATGAGCAAGTCATCCTCCTCAGTGCTTTTCTGTTAGGCTTATAAGGGTCAGATAATGTCATGTTATAAAAGTATAACATTTACAGTGACCTGACAAGGGTGGAATAAATTTGAACTTAGGGCCAAAGTTCACTTAGATGCCTAATAGGTAGAATAGAACCTGGACACAAATATCTGCCCTAATTAGGCAACCTCCTGTTTTTAGAGCTTACCTGAAAGTGTCCCTGAATGTAATAAGTTCAGGTCTTCTGTATGTCAATTAGAAGACACTAATGGTCACTTCAGATGACCTTTTCTGCTAGTCCTATTGGACACTAGAAAGGTTTTGCTGTTCTGGATGTTTACATAACTTCTTTCACCTCAAAGAATAACAAAGAACTAAGGAAAATAAGCAATATTAAATAAAATACAATGATAACAATACACTTAATTTAATTGGGTTAATGTCCCCATTCTTATGCAAATTGCCAATGACCACAAATGGGCAGGGCCTCGCTTGTATAACTTATGCAAAAGACAACACTTCCAGAAGAACAGTGACATGTTCCCCCATTCTTGGATTTTGGTGTAGTACTAGTAGCGAAGCAAGCTACCTACAGAATCATCACTAGAACCTCCTATAACATCCTTGATTATTCTTTCATAAATTCCCATTCAGGTAAAGAGCTGGGTCTAATGCTGCTTAACTTGTGAGACAAGTTAGAACCACAGTACCAAATGATACAGCTGCAGGTAGTCCTGTAATAAGCCATTGTAATAAGCCGCAAGCCATTGCAGCTTGTGAAGTTGCCACAGAATTAATACCAGCAATTAAAGGTGCCAATATATAGTTATAATATATATTCAGCAAATGAAATCTATACACTGGTTCATTTCTAGCAGTAAGAATTTCTCTGCAAATTCTTCCCCATGCTCCCTCTGATCAGTTGATTGGTACAAGAGGGGTGGCTATCACAGGAGAATGCCCCCCACACGCTGACTGGATGATTGCTGAGAAGGGAGGGGATATTCCCTGCAGGATCCCCACAGGGCTTTCTGACAGCTTGTCCCTGGATGAACTATCACAGAGCCAGTGCTCTCCTTCCCTCTTGGGAGGGAAGAAGGGAGAACAGCAGACTATGGTTCTCTGGTTGTGGGTATCCTGCACACCTGAAGAAGTGGACAATCATTCAAAATAGATCAGGAGAGAGAGAGAGAGAGATGTTCCTCATATAAATCTAACTTCCTTGCAAAAAAGACTCAATTCTCTTTCACAAGAAATCTCTTAGACAAATGTATACTCTCTCTTTTTGTGCCAAGAAAATGGTTTCTGCCCTGGCACAAACGTGACACCTGTTCATGACCACTGTGTAATTGACTGCTTTTCCATTACAAATGCCTGCTTGAGTCCACAGAAGAAAATTAAACATCCTTTTATTTAAAAGAAGCAGGAAACATTTATTTTAAGTAAAGGAGAAAACATTCAAGAATTTTTCCCCTGTCCCTGTGAAAGTACTTTAAGAAACTAATGTAGGCAAATATATGTAGCTTCTTGTTCAGGAGAAAAGAAAAGCCAGCTCTTGAGTTGCACAGATTACAATGTCAATGCTATTTTGCCATTTGGCAAACAAAACAGACAACCAAAAAGAAAATATGATTAACACACAAGACTGAGAAGGGGGTGCTCATAAAACCTTGTTTACAGTCTTTCTGGATCTGGAAGTAGTAGTTACTGCCTGTAATGTTGACTTTGGGAATAGATATCCAGTTTGACTCATTTTAAATTAAAGAATGAGTTTAATGTTGTACCCTAATTAGCACAAGGTTTAAAGCCTAAATAAAAAGCAGAGAGTCTCAAATGTTTGGATAGTGATCACTGATAAACATTTCCCTGGTCAAGATACTGTGTTTTATTACACTCAGCCTCAATCTTCCAGTGCACTACATATAAACCAAAACAGTTACAGCTTTTATATGAATTTGTATCATTATCATATTAATATTTATTGTTAGAGCAAGTAAAGATATATGCACTATATTAAAAAATAAATTGCTTGATGTTGTTGTCCATCTTGATTATGTTAATAACATTCCAAGATTATAAACTTTTTTGGTAAAAACAACTTCATAGCTAAGAACCTCAGATTACTTATTAAACTTTAGTGTTTATTTGGTTTGTGATGCATGTTAATCTTCACTTGATACACAAATTTAATTCCTGAACTAGAAATGTTGGGAATTATGTGCTGCACTAGAATATAACCCAAGAGGACTTTTAGTTTTTCTTCTTTTAAACAATATCTTGCAAACATTTCTGTAGAATTGCTTGGTTCTCTAAGACATTCACAGTAGCCAAACACAAAGAGCTAGCTTTATACATCAGCAAGTGTCCTGAAATGAAGTGCATCCTGGCACAGCAGTTAAAAACAATATCAGGGGAAAAAAGTACAGGCCATTTGTACCTATTGGCATATATTTAATATATTTCAGAATTGCCTGCCATGTAAAAATACCTATGCATATTAAAGTAGTAATGATGAAGTGATTAAGAATCCACAACATTTTTTTGTGGATACCCTTGTCTCCTCATAATAAAACTATTAGGCCAAATCCTGAGAGAGACTGAGAACTGCAATCCTGCTAATTTAATTGAAAATTGACAGTGCCTACTTCAGATAACTGCATCATAGATGCTCAGCATGAATCAAGTTAGGATTCCCTCTCAAGAAAAAAAAAAGAGCAACTCTGCTTCCCGTCCCATGGAATCTCCAGTCTCTAACTCCATCTCCATCATACTTCTGTGCACTATAATTTGATATTGTACTGCCAAATCTTCCCTTCTTACAGAATCTATTTTATGTACATGGTTGCTACAAGCAAAAGTTCCTGGATATTTATTCTATGATTCCAGACATCAAGCTAGAGATGAACAAATACTTATTGAAGAAAAATTACCCAGTCTGTGCATATTCAAATGATTACTGTACACAGGTATGTAAGCTACCTTACATATCGATTTAATATGCATAGGACAGGGCAGAGTTGCAGCTTATAGACTAATTTGGAGCTACACAGGTTTTTTAAGCAACAGATTACTTTTTTAGATATTGTGAAAGGAATTTGATAGCATGATCCTTTTATAGGATCCTACAAAGCAAGCTGCTGCTTACAAAAGCGTATTTATCTCAGAATTAGTCTATAAGGCACCATGCCTTCTGTCTGACTTCAGACTAACAGCTAAATACCTCTCATTTACAATGCATATGCAGGTTCTATCAGGACAATTTAAGAGGCCTGTCCTGAAATTCTGGCAAGGAATAATTAATTAAACTAAAAAAATCTAGGAAACAGAAGCCACAAAAATACAAAAGTAGAGCCAAAATCATCCTTAAACCAATTACTCTTCAACCACAACGCACAAGTAATTCTGGCTATACACATTTTAACTTCTTGGGTCCTTATGCTTGGAGCTAACTGTACTGGCTGACTTGAATCTATGTGCTGACTGTGACTATATCATGATATTTTACATATGTTCAAAGGTCAAACTTTGCTTGCCTTAGCAGTATATCTCCTATCACACCCACCTCTCTCTTCCCAACCCTACCATCTACAGCTCAGCTTTCTCCCCCAAGCAGAAAATATTTGCAGGAAATTCCACAAGGTGACTCTTATAGACCTTTCTGGCTTCCAAGCTCCTGAAATCCATAGGTAACTTATCGGGAGGAGCAAAATACGCTCTTGTTTTCCTGGGTAGAATGAGCTTCAGGCAGCTCTAGGACCAGACTCAGATTCAGATTGCTGACTGCGGGCAATGAAGTTCTCAAATTTGAAAGCTAAAATCAGTCTCAATTCTCAGATCATGAAGTATCCCATGCTGACGAAATGCTGAAAGGCAGTAGAATGAGATTTCCTGTTGAAGTCAGTATCCCTAGTTTTCTTTTTGTACGAGTTTCTGAACACCAGCTTGCAGAGCTCTGCTACTTTGCATCAGCAAAAGTATAAAATTTTTGTATGGCTCTGTATCTATAAGAGACACAGAATGTTAAATTCTTGGAGTTTTTCATTCTCCCCCAGCAGCTTGAACTACTATAGCAGATTTACTGTAGATTTATTATTTTATCATACCAGGTCATCTGTTTGTAATTTATTATTGCTAGTCTCTTCATGACCCTGTAAAAGATTGGTTATAACCTAAGAGGTTCAATTCTTCAATGCTAAGTAACAAAAGCACATCTTTCTGGGATGTACCCTTTGAATTTATAATTGCTAAGTGTTAAAAAAGTTTGGCTCTTCTTTTTTGTTAAAATTAAATATTTGTTTATATTATTGTGATCAAAGAATATGATTCTTGTTTATTTAACAATAGAATGAGAGAGAAAGATAAATTAATCAGATGAGATTTACAATCAACTGAATTATTTCTGGTTTTTTGTTTTTTAAATTGACATTACAAGTTATACAACAGTGCCTTGAAGGTAGGAACAAATTTTAACATGTTTTAAGTTCATTTTTGTGTTTTGCAAGAACTATCTTTGTGTTTTCAGAGGAAGCTTGATGTTAAAAGTCTAGTCAATGGTTGCTGAGTCTAATGCTGTTTATCTTGCTTGCCTTATTTTACATTTTGAATGTAGATCTGTACTCACTCATCTGTGTTATATTGTCCTGCCTGAACTGTAAGATATGCATACTCAGTGGAACATTTATTTCTTATATGTTCACTATAAATGCAATAACAAAAAGAATGGAAATAGTGGGAACGGGCAATACGGTATATACATTTAAATGCAATAAACTTAATGGAAAAGACTGTCTAATATTTATCTGTTTCTTCGATCGTAACTTAAGTAAGAGTCAGAAATACAACAGCATATGCTCAGGGTTTTACTTTATAGAATGGCATGTTCTATTGTGAATGACACCTGGGAACACTGGAAATAAATCCCATTTCAACAGATTATTTTCATAATTTCATTTTAAAGGTTGCATCTCCCAAATCTTTTTTAGCATAAAGGAGAGTGATGCCCTGGCTATTCTTTGGGGAAATAAAAACAGAGACTGAATCATTATTTTCTCCCTTTGTTTTTTAATCTACATAAGCAAAATAATTTTACAATAATCTCTCCCCTTTTCCCTTATCATTCCCACAAGCATCAGCACACTTACATGTTTCTGGAGAGCATACACAGCTGTTGTTTCAGCCCTAAATTAAGCATAAATATATAGATTTTGTTATGAAATGTTTTGGTGAATGGGAGCTGCCTATACAGGAGACCCTTGCCATTCATGGGGGATATGTTCTAAAGATCCTTGCGAATGGGGAAATCCAAGAATACTGTACTGCATTCATGAATGTTGTCTGTGTTTATGCCCCGGTGCTTACCCCCGGCAGCTGGGGGGGCATGGCTGCACTGGTGGCAGTGGGAGCTCCCACAGATGCCTCCGGTGCTGTAACAAAGTGTCATCACGCTACACCATGAATATTTGAAACTGCGAATGCCAAATTTGCAAATAGTGAGGGTTTCCTGTACTCTATATTGCTTCTATGCAAGATTAATACTGTTTTCTTCTCTTTAATTTTTCTGTGAATGATTTGAGCACTTTAGTACTGTATAGACAAGTCTAAGAAAGTATTAATGGTTTTAAAGCACAGCGAAATGCATCTCAGCCACCCATAGGTAGCTTCAAGTTGGTTTAAATAATACCATTTCCATTGAGATAAATGAGAAATTACTTTTTCTTTTTTCATGGGTTCATAAGGGGGTGGGGCAGGGGGTTGTGCAATCTATTTAATATCCATCAGTTCTTTTCCTTCCCCAAAATAAAAAGACAATACAGAAAAGAACCCAGAGCTTAGTCAGGAGATGTTCAAAGCCAAGTCTTACTTACCCAACTGGTTCCACGATTTTAAGCCATCAACATTTTCCAAACACCAGAAAAGACAACCTGAACCCTCTTCCAGTTGGATACCTTCACTTGTCTTTAAATGTCCTGTTTCCACACCACAGAGACATGCAAGGCACCTCTACACATGCACTTTAATGTGCAGTAGACTATTTTACATTAAAATGTCACATAAAAATGTGATATTATGCTAATGTGCAGTAAAATAGTTTACTGCTCACTAAGCATCACCAAGAACAGCATGCAAATGTGCTATTGGACATTAATTTAGTACCTCACGTTGGAGGTATTAAATTTAATGCACATTAGAAAAAGTGCATTAATGTACATGTAGACGTGTCCACAGACAACTGAAAGTATGATGAGCCCAACAGACCTCACTCACTAGCTGAATTATCAGTTCTTCTGATAATTTCCTTGGGAAGGAAAGGGTAAAGCACAGAGATGGTCAGGAATTTTTTGACAACCTGTTTTCATCAAACCTGAAATTGTTCGCAGGAAAGGATTGATTTCACAAACCCTCTATATACAAACAATAGAATACTGTTTTGAAGCATGCTATTTTGACATTTGCTAATGAAAACCTGTTTTTCAACTAAAATAAATATTGAATAATATTTTGTTCCAAAATGTAAGATACAGTGAAATAATGTAGACGATGAAAAAGATTTAAATCAAAACAAAATGTGTTAAATGTATTCAGAAAATATTTTGTTTCACCTTTTTTCCAGATTTTTCTATGACAACAATTTGCAAAATTATTTTTTTTTATCACAAATCAGAACAGGAAAATTTACTGTGTTTTAAGGTTGGAAAACACTTCCCTACCTAAATCTAGTGAAGAATAAAATAACCTTGGTGAGCAAAGGGAAGCAAAAATGAATTAAACTACCCTGTACCTAGCTAGGATCCCATTTGCTACCAGTTCCTAATCCCCTTTCTGTAGATTGTGTAGGTTTGAAGGGAATGTGTATAATACACATACACCCTGTGATAACGTGATAAGCAGCTAAGAAGAAGAATGAGGGGGTAACTGGAGGGACTTACTGGAGGTGATGGGGTAGGAGGGAATTTGAGGAATAGAAGTGATTCAGAGGGAGAGTGTGTAAAGTGAATAAATGGGGTGGGGTCATAAACTGAGCAAATTGATGAAGGAGGGTGAAGAAGTGCTTTCTTCCATTAACTAAAGACCATTTCTTAAGTCCTGATAGTAGGCTCAACTACCTCCTGCCCACCCTTAGTTTTTCTCTCTTGAGATCTGCTAAGTTGTAAATGTATACAAGAGCGGGGAAAACTGTGGTGACTGCAGGACTATTAAAATAGCTAACTACTGTATTTTCTTGCTTGCTGTATGCCCTGAGATAAAATATGCATTTTGTTTTTGGAAAGCAGAAGGTAGAAAATAGATTTTCCAGGAGTCACGGCTGACTGTGTAGCATAGAGCCTGTTACCCTGGAAACAGGAAGTGTCCAGGAAGTGTGTCATCCCAGGATACAGTCTGCGTGAGGTAGCAAGCACCAAAAACTTCCTAGTGTGGCATCAAGTTCGTATCTCTCTGTTCCCAGGAGGACTCTGTGTCACAGGATTAAGGGCCAGACCCTTGCAAGGGCTGTAACTAGACTCCTTAGGGTGTGTGTAGACAAAACGGGGGTCCTAAATTGAAGTGGTGGGTTTTTAAAAACACTTCTTCAATTTAGGGTGAAGTAAATCCCCGTGTCGTGCACACACCTGCGCACTTACCTGCCTCTCCAGCAGTGGGGAGGGGAGGGCGAGCTGCCGGGGGGCGGACGGGTCTCTGGGCTGGGGGGGTGGGCTGGTGCTTCCCTTCATGGCAGCAACACTCTCCCCCCAGACAACCCCTGCCTGCAGGCACCTGGGGGGCACCTCAGCCATGAAGGGAAGCACCAGGCCGCCGCACAGCTCAGGCAGGCAGGCAGACTCTGGTGGCAGGGGGAGGGGGAAAGATCAGGCTCTTTTTTAAATTTTTGGGCAGAACCTGCTTTCCCAGGCTGCTTGCAGGGTTTCCTACAGAGCCCCTGAGCTGCGTGGAGCCTGGTGCTTCACTGCGTGGCTGTGCCCCAAGTCATTTGAGGAACATTATGCCGCCAAATTTGCTATAGCTGGTGGGATTACTTCACAATACACTGCTGACGCTTGCAAACACCAACACCATTAAAGCAGAGCAAAAGCATTTAACCTGCTTTAAAATGTCATGCACACTTGCCCCTCATTTCATCTACACATGGCCTTAGTTCTTTACTGGAAGTAGTTCTCCAGATAAGTTCCTGTAAAGAATGTATTGTTTCCCCATCGCAAGCCCCATCAAGAGACTTCCAGAAGTTCCATTTGTTGCTTTAGGCACAAGCTGCAGGGTTCACCCAATAGCTACATTAGCTAATAATGTGAGGGGTAACAAAGGACTTTGCA